TGGATCATCCTTTCATTATCACTAACTGTATGTTTTTTTACCAGCTTTCTTTTGCTTACAGTTATTGTTGTTGGTATAATTTATTTATCTTTTTTTTTTTTTTACAATAACATCACTTTAATATGAGATCAACCCAGACCTGGTGCAGTGCAATCTAAGCTGCATCCAATGCTTTTTAATGCACTCACCTAACCCCAGCCCTAACCCGTTACAGTGACGTCCCTCACTCCATTGAGTGCATTGTGTCTGACATTGCATCACTGAGTGGTGCAATTTCAGCTTGCTTCATAAAGGCTGTATCCAGATACTATTAAAATTACATTTATTTTAAAATATCTTTTGGTGTTTATTTAGAGTAGAAATCACTCATAGTGATTTACTATCACTGGAATATATGACTGCATTAAACGTTAATTATATTTAATGAGAAAATGCTTAACTGGTTTTCACATTATGTTTTTAATGTAGTAAACTGGATGCGGATTTTTCTTTATATCAGGTTGTCTATGCGAAAATGCCTAATAAGCAATTTACTACTTGCTTTTTATTCTAACCGTATCTATTATCAGCATGTCTTATTACCTGCCATAGTAATTCTATTACCTTCAGTAATTTTCATTTAACTCAGTGAGTCCCTTTCCATAAAATTACCAAATTTTATGTATAGAATTGTAATGTGTATATGTATTTATTATATTTTCCATTTTGCCAATTTTTAAGCATCCTTTGGACAGGTGTTGAGAATTAGCAAGTTTGCTAAAACACTTAAACAAATGGATTTGGTTGTCCAGTGTAATTGTGATGTCCATGTCAAATAAAAAAATAAATAAATAAATAATCTGTCGTGGTACATATTTCTATTAAATTATTCTTGATCACAGAAGCACATGAAAATCTGTGTTTTGAAACAACTTTAGTCTCCTTTCAACAAGTATTATTGTGGTGTTGAAATAAATTGGTGTAAAACAATTATATAATACCAAAAGTACTGGAATTACAGTTTATAATTTGCATATAGATGCTAATCAAAAAGCAGGCAATCAAAATCATTTCCTTACAGCAACTTAAATGAAAGTAAAAATGTTATATGTGTGTTTATGTATGTGTTTTTGCTTATTTTAATTATAATTTTCATTTTTGATTAACAACTTTAAATATAATATTCAATGTTTAATCATTTCAATTAATAGGACATAATAGTAATAGTATTAGTAATTAGTTAACAATCAAAATTAATGTTTCTTGTAGCTCTGGTGAGGACTCAATGTTGCTTATGAATCTGTTTGGTTAACAAGATCTGTGTTTGTCATTAGTTTTAGGTGATGTGAATTCTACATATGGACATACACTGGACTGAATTAACCACTAAGATTTATTTATTATCAGATAAAATCTCCATATTGAGCTGCTGGAGCTGATCTGTGGCCGTCTGGGGCTCTGCTTTCAGCAGTTCTCTGCACTTCCTGTGTCACTCCTGCTCACTCTATACAAATCATTCACAGCGTTAATCCAGACTGACCCTAACAATACAAGCCCAGCCATGACTGCTGTCATTCAGATAGGTGTCATGTCATTGGCCACCTGTTCACTGTAACCAGGGATGGCTCTCAATATCATCCAAACTGGGCCGATCAGCTGCCGCTGGACTGAGACACCAGCGAATCAGCTGACGGCACTCTGTTACACACAACACCGTCTTCAGAAACACAGAGCAACACACTTCTGCTCGCTCACCACATGATGTTCATTTGTGAGTGAGTCTCTTACCTGTGGACAGCTGTCTGGGAAAGTGCAGTCTGCTTTTGGACGTGACCCTCCGTGCGCCTCTGAAGGGGAAACGGTCGCACAGGATGTTGAAGAGGGTCACTCCTACTGACCAGACTGTAGCTGGAGCCGCATGATAGCGCTGTCTGTGGAACCACTCAGGTGGCGCATATTTAAGAGTGCCTGAAAGACACAAGAAGAACACAAACACCCGCTCAAAACTCTCCAGTACACACTAACTCCCTTTAGAGGATCATCAAACAGTTTCCAGTTCAATCATACAGTTTCCTTCTGCAACACAGACCCACCTGAGAAGTATTTGTAGGCCGAGCGCTTTAGTCGATCTCCACAGCCGAAGTCCAGCAGCTTGATGTCCTGGGACTCTGTGGAGATCAGCAGATTCTCCGGCTTGACGTCCCGGTGCAGGACGCGGCGGCTCTCGCAGTGTTTCAGCGCCGCGATCAACTGCACCAGCACTCTCTTGGCCAGACGCTCGTCCAGACAGCCGTTCTCCTCACAGAAGCTCTGGAGATCCTGGCAAGGAGACGGCCGCTCCAGGATCAGGACGTAGCGTCTGGGACAGTCAAACCAGTCCAGCAGCTGCAGGACATAAGGGCAGGCAGGAGCTGAAGTGACGCGGGTCATCAGTGCCACCTCCAGAGGCAGCCGACCCTGACCATCCTGCAGGACAAACACTCCATTATCTCCAGAACTGAATCGAACACAACAACAGCTTCACATTGAACTCACGACTCTCAGTCTCCTCTGCGTCCGGTCTTTAGACACATATTTGATGGCCACCTAGACAGATAAAGCACAGTAAATCACACCTGCCTGATCATCACACATCACATTACTGATATCAGGCTGACTGAATGAAGAGTGGAGTAAACGTCTTACTGGCAGTCCATCCGACCTGCGGATCCCAGCAAACACAGAGCCGAATCCACCTCGTCCCAGCAGTGGGCCCTTCACATACTCGTCTGCAACACAGAAGAGCAAGAGAAATGTCTCAAAGAGAAAACAGGCTGCAATAGCAAAACTGTATAAGAGCATTAATGAAGAATGATGCAAGAACTGATAAGGTCTGGAATATGAGGTTATTCTGACCTCTGCGAGAGCGTTTGGCTGCTCTTCTAGATGAGATGAACGGACGTTCCTCTTCTGGCGTTTGCTGGCTGCCGCTCTGCCACTTCCTCTTCCTGTTACCCTGATCTGCGGACACAGACTCGGCCAACAGGGAAGACAGAGGAGCGACAAATCCTGGAAGCTCTCGGCTCAAGGTCCGGGTTTCACCATCACCATCATGTGTCCAGACGTCCTGAACAGCTGCCTGGGTGAAAGCAGCACTCCTGGATCTGGAGCGGCCTGAGGCTACAATATTTCACATTTGATTATTAATATTAGTCAATCAATAATCAATGTCAGTAGATGCATTTACAATAAATACAACACATTTGATCATTTATAGTGGGAACAGTTAGGATGAAATTTATTCATTTGTACTAGTTGATTTGCATAAATTCATCTAAATATTATACAACATCATATCATAACTGATAATAAAAACATGATAAAGTTAAACACTCACCTAGTCTTTCACCCATGATGCTGTGATCCATTGACAAACTCCTACAAACTCCACCAAAGCTGAAAAAAGCAAAAAAAGAAATAAAATATCAATTTAAATTAAAAACTGAAATAAAATGAAACTAAAAACAAGATAAAACACAATAAAATAATGACAAAAGGTGTCGAAAGCAACAATTTAAGCTCTTTCAAAAAATGAAAACACTTTTCAAAGAAATATCCGTCGATCTCCTTATAAAATACAAGTCTTCTGTCAGAAATCCTCTGGTCTCCTTGAAGAATCGCAGTTTCAGCACAGAAATGTCTCAATTCTCTCTCAAATCTCTCCTCGTCTCTCCAACAGATAGCGGTGGGTTTCAGTGTTTATATATAGAGTCAAATCGTAACACGCGTTGCTATAGCAACCACAACTTGAATCGCGAATCTGAATCACGTGAGAAAAATAAAGCTACGCATCTCATCTCAACATATGAATAGCATTGAATATTACCTATTTAAATAAATAATTTATAATTCTTGAAATTATTATTTCATTTACAAAACAGTAATTGGTGAATAAGCAAGTTACTTTATATTACACATAAAATAAATCAAACTCTCAATGATGTAAATGGCTCGTAAATCTGTTCACTTAACGTTAGCCCAACGTTAATCTCTGTATAGATTATGCTCTTTGATTGTGACAAAAAGGGCAATCATATAAATCCACAGTTTGAAATAATAAATTGTTTAGATAGAATGAATATCAGTACAGTGATACTCAATACGTTTCTTCATTCATTTGATTAACTGTTACCGTAAACCGCACTCAGAGCGACTGGACACCTTTTTTTCAAACCACGTTTATGTCATTATTTGTGATATAACGTGTTATTTATTGCACAGATTCGTGCTGAAATGATCATTTATTGACGTTAGGAATTATAAAGGATCATGTGACCTGAATACGCAAATACCTGATTTAGGTCGTTGATGTTGTTTTTTTGCCCAAAAGAAAAAAAATGCATAATTTTAACATAATATTAATAAAAAATCATTCCTAAATAGACGAAAAATTAACACAAAAATCTGTCAGTTCGTTTTGATAATTTGCTCAATATTGCTCACCGTCTATTTTTAAATATTAGTTCCTAGACATTATAAATAAATGTTTTGATTTAATAATTTAAATTTAGCTATCTTTAATTCTATTTTTTGTCGCGATGAGATGCATTGCTTTGTTCTGTTCACGTGATTCAGATTCGCGATTCAAGTTGTGGTTGCTATAGCAACGCGTGTTACGATTTGGCTCTATATATAAACACTGAAACCCACCGCTATCTGTTGGAGAGACGAGGAGAGATTTGAGAGAGAATTGAGACATTTCTGTGCTGAAACTGCGATTCTTCAAGGAGACCAGAGGATTTCTGACAGAAGACTTGTATTTTATAAGGAGATCGACGGATATTTCTTTGAAAAGTGTTTTCATTTTTTGAAAGAGCTTAAATTGTTGCTTTCGACACCTTTTGTCATTATTTTATTGTGTTTTATCTTGTTTTTAGTTTTATTTTATTTCAGTTTCTAATTTAAATTGATATTTTATTTCTTTATTTGCTTTTTTCAGCTTTGGTGGAGTTTGGAGGAGTTTGTCAATGGATCACAGCATCATGGGTGAAAGACGAGGTGAGTGTTTAACTTTATCATGTTTTTATTATCAGTTATGATATGATGTTGTATAATATTTAGATGAATTAATGCAAATCAACTAGTACAAAAGAACCCATTTCATCTCAACTGTTCCCACTATAAATGATCAAATGTGTTGTATTTATTGTAAATGCATCTACTGACATTGATTATTGATTGACTAATATTAATAATCAAATGTGAAATGTTGTAGCCTCAGGCCGCTCCAGATCCAGGAGTGCTGCTTTCACCCAGGCAGCTGTTCAGGACGTCTGGACACATGATGGTGATGGTGAAACCCGGACCTTGAGCCAAGAGCTTCCAGGATTTGTGGCACCTCTGCCATCCCTGTTGGCCGAGTCTGTGTCCGCAGATCAGGGTAACAGGAAGAGGAAGTGGCAGAGCGGCAGCCAGCAAACGCCAGAAGAGGAACGTCCGTCCACCTCATCTAGAAGAGCAGCCAAACGCTCTCGCAGAGGTCAGAATAACCTCATATTCCAGACCTTATCAGTTCTTGCATCATTCTTCATTAATGCTCTTATACAGTTTTGCTATTGCAGCCTGTTTTCTCTTTGAGACATTTCTCTTGCTCTTCTGTGTTGCAGACGAGTATGTGAAGGGCCCACTGCTGGGACGAGGTGGATTCGGCTCTGTGTTTGCTGGGATCCGCAGGTCGGATGGACTGCCAGTAAGACGTTTACTCCACTCTTCATTCAGTCAGCCTGATATCAGTAATGTGATGTGTGATGATCAGGCAGGTGTGATTTACTGTGCTTTATCTGTCTAGGTGGCCATCAAATATGTGTCTAAAGACCGGACGCAGAGGAGACTGAGAGTCGTGAGTTCATTGTGAAGCTGTTGTTGTGTTCGATTCAGTTCTGGAGATAATGGAGTGTTTGTCCTGCAGGATGGTCAGGGTCGGCTGCCTCTGGAGGTGGCACTGATGATCCGCGTCACTTCAGCTCCTGCCTGCCCCAATGTCCTGCAGCTGCTGGACTGGTTTGACTGTCCCAGACGCTACGTCCTAATCCTGGAGCGGCCGTCTCCTTGCCAGGATCTCCAGAGCTTCTGTGAGGAGAACGGCTGTCTGGACGAGCGTCTGGCCAAGAGAGTGCTGGTGCAGCTGATCGCGGCGCTGAAACACTGCGAGAGCCGCCGCGTCCTGCACCGGGACGTCAAGCCGGAGAATCTGCTGATCTCCACAGAGTCCCAGGACATCAAGCTGCTGGACTTTGGCTGTGGAGATCGGCTAAAGCGCTCGGCCTACAAATACTTCTCAGGTGGGTCTGTGTTGCAGAAGGAAACTGTATGATTGAACTGGAAACTGTTTGATGATCCACTAAATGGAGTTAGTGTGTACTGGAGAGTTTTGAGCGGGTGTTTGTGTTTTTGTTGTGTCTTTCAGGCACTCTTAAATATGCGCCACCTGAGTGGTTCCACAGACAGCGCTATCATGCGGCTCCAGCTACAGTCTGGTCAGTAGGAGTGACCCTCTTCAACATCCTGTGCGACCGTTTCCCTTTCAGAGGCGCACGAAGGGTCACGTCCAAAAGCAGACTGCACTTTCCCAGACAGCTGTCCACAGGTAAGAGACTCACTCACAAATGAACATCGTGTGGTGAGCGAGCAGAAGTGTGTTGCTCTGTGTTTCTGAAGACGGTGTTGTGTGTAACAGAGTGCCGTCAGCTGATTCGCTGGTGTCTCAGTCCAGCGGCAGCTGATCGGCCCAGTTTGGATGATATTGAGAGCCATCCCTGGTTACAGTGAACAGGTGGCCAATGACATGACACTTATCTGAATGACAGCAGTCATGGCTGGGCTTGTATTGTTAGGGTCAGTCTGGATTAACGCTGTGAATGATTTGTATAGGGTGAGCAGGAGTGATACAGGAAGTGCAGAGAACTGCTGAAAGCAGAGCCCAGACGGCCACAGATCAGCTCCAGCAGCTCAATATGGAGATTTCATCTGATAATAAATAAATCTTAGTGGTTAATTCAGTCCAGTGTGTGTCCACATGTAGAACTCACATCACCTAAAACTAATGACAAACACAGATCTTGTTGACCAAAGAGATTTAGGAGCAACATTGAGTCCTCACCAGAGCTACAAGAAACATTAATTTTGATTGTTAACTAATTACTAATACTATTACTATTATGTCCTATTTATTTAAATGATTAAACATTGAATATTATATTTAAAGTTGTTAATCAAAGAGATTAGGGAGCAACATTGAGTCCCACTCCTCACCAGATATTTACATAAATATAAATGTATACATAAATATATATCCACACCATATCAGAGCTTGACATTAAGCTCTCACATGTGGTTGTCCTTCAGACAAGTACATTTGTAATTTAATTGTCTGAATGAAAAAGTCACTTTCAGTTGAGAAACGTCAAAAAAATAGGTCTGAGTAAGTGGTGAAGCTTTTAAATACGGTCAACCATTTACACATCCATAAATCTGGAATTAAATGTAATTTATGAGCTATGTGGAGGCAAATTTCCTATTTTGTTTGATAATTTTAAATGTTTAGCTGTTTTTAGGTAACCTCAAGTAGGTTTATAGTACTTTGTGCAAATCTAATGCATGTTAAATCAAAAATGGGGGCGATGCAGTGGTGCAGTAGGTAGTGCTGTCGCCTCACAGCAAAAAGGTGGCTGGTTCGAACCTCAGCTGAATCAGTTGGCGTTTCTGTGTGGAGTTTGCATGTTCTCCCTGCGTTCGCGTGGGTTTCCTCCGGGTGTTCCGGTTTCCCACACAGTCCAAAGACATGCGGTAAAGATGAATTGGGTAGGGTAAATTGTCCATAGTGTATGAGTGTGAAGGAGTGTGTTTGTGGATGTTTCCCAGTGATGGGCATCCGCTACGTAAAACATATGCTGGATAAGTTGGTGGTTCATTCCACTGTGGCGACCCCTGATTAATAAAAGGACTAAGCCGAAAAGAAAATAAATGAATGAATAAAAACAGTAAAATGTCTCACGCTTGAATGCTTTTATAACCCTCCACACTTACAGGCCTCAAAAAACACTTGGGAAATAATCAATTAAAATCCAGACTCAACAATGCATATACTCGCAATGTCACTATTGCGAATGTTCACATTGTAATATGGATGCTGAAATGATGTATTGTGCAGCCCTAGTGAAAACAGCCATCCTGGATGTGCTTTATCCCACTTGTTACATTACACAAAACATAAAAATTAGACACAAAAACATTGCTCTACGCCTTAATTTATTAATTCTTTCATAAAACACAAAGCTGACTAAACCAAAACCGGATGGATGGACCATAAGATAACCTGTGCATTATTTTGTCACTAGATGGCGCCAAACAGTAAAAAAACACAAAGCTGTCAGAAAGGAGACCGGTTGAATAAAGCATATACTAACCTATGTATTATTCATTCACAAGAAGACAGCAAACTGTCGAAATAAGCAGTGTGACACAGGCAGAAACATATGGATATACTGTAGATGTATTATGGATGTGAATTTATTCACCAAGGTAATTCAAAGTTCCCGGATGATTCTATGTTATTCAGCAGTTGTTATCTGTGAATAACATACCTTGGAATGGAACAAATCAGAAAACATTATCCCCGACAGCCGTGTAATAATGGTATTTAATGCACTGCTTGTTGTCTGGTGTAAAACCTACTTTATATTGTATCTCAATCAGGCAGTGAAAATCGTTGATTTTTTAACAAACCAGATCTTAAACATGGCGAGTTTATGATGGCATGACAGTTTACCGAAAGCACCTGAGCTGGCTTATTTAAAATTAAAAGTCCCGTTGAAAAGGTAAAGTAAATATTGAAGAAATTAATTCCAAAAAAAATATTATAATGCTGTGAATACTTAGTCGCTTACCAAGAACAAAGTCTCCACCTTGGCCACGGCTCTCCGCAGCAGGGTGCCCAGGTGATCTCCAACCCCGGCTAACAGTATCCCAAACATGGGGATCCCCACCAGAGCGTAAAATATGCAGAACAACTGACCACCTTTGGTCTTGGGTGAGATGTTTCCAAAGCCTGGAAGAGGTGAACGTGTGAAATACAGCCAGAATTCAATGATATGCTGATTTGAAAAGTGTGTTCATCTCACCGATGGTGGTGATTATGGTGCCACAGAAAAAGAAAGCATTGGATGGATCCCATCTGCTGGTGTAATTTGATGTGCTTCTGGCATCCACACCTGCCTCAATGGCGTCAACCACTTTCTAAAGAGAAAAGATGATTTATCGAGGATGCAACTAAATCTATACAGAGAATGGAAGAACTTTACAGAATACAAAATAACTAATGTTTACAGTATTTTGTAATTATTGTTATTTTAGTTTGGTTAAAATAAAAAGATTTTTATTTTTTTTTTAAAGATTTTTAAGGTTCAGTATTATTAGCGCTCTGAGGGAAGCTCATTTTGGTTAGTTTTGACAACCGATAACCACCGGTCGTTGAACAAATATTAACCGTTAATTGATCAGATAAATATTAAAATATTATTTAATGTAAAAATTTGACGTGCCTATTTTGTATGACATAAAAAATATTGCATTTTAAAACCCTGATTTATTTTAACATGTGATATTTATTGTATCACACAAAATAGGCACGTCAATTATTTAAAAAATATATAACAAGAATATAATAAATAGGCTGTTTATTGCAATCATGTTTTTTCTTTCATCAAATAAAAATATTAGGATACCTCAAATTGATCGCTTCACGGAAAATATGCATAATTAATGCTCCGCTGTTAGTATTATATTACAAAACCTCTGTCAACATTTTTAATAAAAGTCATTAGTTTAAGGATTATGCATTAATTATGATTGTGACTTGATTCCCCTGTGTTCGTAATCTCCGTGTTTCCTTTCCGTGTTACTCTCCTGAGTATATCTAACAAAAATGTGGTGCAATGGTGCACATTTAGGGGCCGATCACACCGAGAATGCTTTTCCATTCCAAAAGCTGGAGGCGCACCACACTGCCTTTTTTGTTGAAAAGAAAAAAAGAAGCGTGGTGCTCTTTTTTATGTCACCAGGAAAGACTGAATCAGCTGACCTGTATTGTGCGCGAGTGTTGCTGTCTTTGTTGTTATAATTGTAATTTTTAATAACATTATGATATTCAAGATTTTTTAAGTCATACAGCTCTGGATAACTTGAAACAGCGACCACAAGTCTCTCCATCATTAAAAGTTCGCCGTAGTCATCTTGACAACACAAACACGGCTGTCACCTCAATGGAAACCCCGCCTCTGCTTTTATTTGATGGAAGAATGAAAATGATGCGACTGAGGTAACATGTTTTTTCCGGTCGAGCGAACATATCGCACAATGGCAAAACGCGAGACGCGCAGGGCGCAAAAGCAGCCCGCAAAAAGATTAAAGCCATTAGTAAACCACTGAAAAGATGCGCCTCTCAACGCAAAAAAAGCTTTCGGTGATTGGCCCCTTATGAAGCAAAACCAAAGAGCATAGAGTGGGAAATTTGGGATTTGGGAAACAGCCAGTGGATGGCGCGGCGGCCATTTTGGAATGAAAATTCCAATAGAACAACAGCATATTATAAGTCTGTAAAATAAACTATTAAAAGAGCTGATGATTGTGATAGTAAGTGTTGTATTGTCATCTTACAGGTTGTATCTCAGCTTTAATGTGTTTTTAAAATAAATTAATTAAAAACAAAGCAGCTGCTTGCCATCGCGACAGCAATAAGACCCAATGGATAGCCGACCGCTTTCATTCCAAAATGGCTGAATCCGGGGCAGTTGCTGAGCGCTGCTGTTGTTATGTTCTATTGAGTGTCGCCTCTTAGTCATTCTAAGCTCTTTGGCCAAACTTTAAAAGTATTTAAAATAATTTTTTTTATCGTTTTACCATTAATTGGTTACAAACACACCCTTTAGGTTAACACTTTATTCGTTATTTTGAGCATCCCTACCTCTTACCATTTTTTTCTTATTTGATTCAATGATCGAAATAACCTAGTTAAGCCTGTAAATTGCACTTTAGGCTGAATACTGGTATCTTCCAAAATAACTAGTAAAATAATATGTACTGTTATCATGGCAAAGATAAAAGAAATCAGTTACTTGAAATATTTTATTAAAACCTTTATGACAGCAATTGGGAAATATTTGAAAAAGAATTAAAATTTCGCAGGACAGATAATAATTTTGTCTTGATAAATGATAAATATAAGATTAAAACATTTTGAAATGTTGCTTTGGGAATGATAAAAAAAAGTATTAAAATTTTTGTTTTAGAATATATATATATATATATATATATATATATATATATATATATTAAATAAAATTTTACATTTTACAATTTAAAAAAATAATAATAGCTC